CGGGTCCGGCGGCCGGGGCCGTGTCCCTGCCAGGGCGGGCAGGTAACGGAGCGCCGGGGGTGGGTCGGGCCCCTGCTCCGGTGCCTGGCACTGCCCGCCCTGGAATGTGCTCAGACCGGTCTGGGCGCCGCGGGGCCCTCGCTGCTCCCCCCGCCGGTGCGCGGCTTGGCTGTGGACGTGGCTCTTGGCTCCGTCCTCGCGGGCTCTGGGCCAGGAGCCGCTCTGCTGCAGAGCCCCGGCTGTCCCGGGGCAGGGTCTGCCGCCTAGCCGGGACCGGCGGACCGCTGCTGCGCCCTGGAGACTCGTGAGGGGCAGGGGAGAACCTCCTCGTTTCCAGAACGTGCGAGCCGTGGGCCGAGGGGCGGGAGGGAACGCGCCGGCCGCGCTCCGGGGTTGCGAGCGGGAGCTGGGGCTGGCTCCTCTGGGACGCGCGGCTCCGCCGGGAGCTTTCTGGGCGGCAGGAGGCTGCAGGCAGGGCCAGGGCGGCACATCCCGAGGGACCCGCTGCCCTCTGCCTGCTCCCTGGCCGTCAGGAGCTCAGCCCAGGCCTTAGGCGTGGGAAGCCCGGAGGGTCCCTGGCTGGGCGAGAGCCCCAGGGTGCTGGCCACGGCGGGGTGGTCTCCATCTCTGCCCGGTCCCCGGGGCTCCCCTGGCTCCAGCGACACATCTGTGTCCTTGCAGGCCCTGAGGATGTCGGACGGGATCATGAGCAAGGCCGCCACCATGGAGATCCCCATCAGCAGCAACGGGGACGCGGGCAGCCTGCCGGAGGACGACGGCTTGGAGCAGGTTGGTAGCTGGGGCCGGGTGGGGACGTGCTGGACCCCCAGGCGTTGCTTTCCGGGCCGTGTTGTGCCGCTGTGCCCCAGGCCCTCTGCGTCAGGGCCACGCAGTCCGCTCGGCCATGCATCCCGGCTCTGCGCCTCAGCTGCCCATGCTCCTCCCTCCGCTCCAGGACCTGCAGCAGGTGATGGTGTCGGGGCCCAACCTCAACGAAACCAGCATCGTCTCTGGCGGCTACGGGGGCACGGCTGAAGGCATCATCCCCACCAGCACCATCAAAGGTAGGCCAGGCCGTGGCGCAGGCTCACGTGAACGGGGCTGGGGCAGCGGGGAAAAGCTGGGGCTGCCTGCCGAGGGCAGCGCCGCTCCTTGTGGGAGGGAAAGGCTCCGTCGCGGGAAGGAGGGCACACCTCACCTCGCCACCCTCCTGCTCCCTGCCGGGCTGCGGGAGCCTGTGGGGAAGGAGGCATGCTGCTCAAGCCACAGGGCCCGCAGTGCTGCCAGGTGGCGAGGGTCCCGTGTGGGCCCACAGGCAAAAGCTCTGTCTCGAGCCTCAACTCGAGCTGGGCTGTCACCTGGGCCCTGCAGCGCGTCCCCTCCCTGGTCCTGACACGTGGTTCTGCCTCGGCCCGGCTGTTTGGTACAACACCTCCTTCCCAGGATGGTGGCTCCTGCTGCGCACGGCGGCTCCTTCCCCGGGCTGGGCTCTGCTGATGGGCTGGCACCCACGTGCCCCCGGCAGAGCCTGGCTGCCTCAGAGCGGAGGGGCTGCCACCCCGCTAACCCCGCTCCTCCAGCACTCCCAGCGTGCGGTAATTAACGGGGAGGCGCAGCGGGAGGGCTGGGCCACAGGCGCTCCCCTCTCTTGCAGGTGTGGGGCCTCCCACGGGCGAGGGTCTGTCCCAGTGGCCGGGGGCACCCTCGGGGCTGTGGCTTCTGGTGCCTGGGCTTTGCACCGTGCTGCGGCGGGGCAGCGCTTGGGTCCTTCCTCTGGTGTTGGGGAAAGACGCTGGTGTTCCACCTCTTCTCTGGTCCTGGGGCAAACAGGGAGCTCTGGGAGTGCGGTGGTGCCAGCGGTTGTGCGGTGAGGACTGGGGATGGGGCAGGGTGGCTCTGAGCCCCCCGCTCCACTAATTTCCTCTTCTCATTGCTCAGGCCCGTCCTGGGGTTGCGGGTGCTCCTGATGGCAAGGCACGGCTGCGAGCGTCCTGCCTGCGGGGCAGCGTGTGGGCAGCTGTGCCCCAGCTCCGGGGCCCTGCGGGGCCCTGCGCCCCCGGGAGCTCTGCCCAGGCGCGGGGGCAGCAATGGCCCAGCGGCTCCACGATGAGCATCGGTGGTGCTGGGCTGGCACAGCTGCGTCTCTCACCCTCTGACCCTCGTGGTCCTGTTTCACACAAGTCTCTGTCCCCCGACTCTTGCCCCAAGCCTCTCTTCTGCAGCAGACAGCTGCTTGACCCCAGCCGCTCCGTGCTGCGCTAAACCTGAGCGAGCGGATTTGCACAGGCAGAGGGGACGTGTGCCTTTGCTCCCAGCCTGCTCTGCCGAAGAGCAGCATGAGCGGCTGGCAGAAGGAGGTGTGTGCTGTGGTTGCCATCCCCCTGTCTCTGTCACGCTGGGCCTGTCCGGCTCCCGGGCACGATGACACCGGTTGAGTGGACGGAGGGAGCGGGGAGGGAGTGCCTGGTGCGGGAGGTGTCCGTCTGGCAGCCAGCTGTGTCTTCTGATGTCACGTCATACTCATCTGCTCCCGTTGCTCTCCCCTGCTGCTATCCTGCCTGCACACTCATCCTCTGTCCTGGCCGTTCCTGCCCCTGTGCCCGTCACACCGCCCCATCTCCTGCCCCTCTCTGCTCAACACCTGCCAGCCCCTCCATTTCCAGGCTGTCTTGTCCAACCTCACCCACCCCGAGGACCATCCGTCTCCCCCAGTGCGTCTGCCGCCAGCAGGATGGCCAACCAGGCTGGCGCTTCAGCAGGTACTGCGGCTGCCCGGCCCCTGGCTGGCGCTCCACGGCCCCGCTGCCTGGGCCTGGGCTCCTCACCCTGGGTTAGGGCACCTGGTTAGCGCTGGGGTCCCTCGGAGCACCCCCGCAGAGATGTGGCTGCAGCCCCACAGAGCCACCGGTGTGCAGGCAGGCGAGCCCGCTGCCGCAGGAGGGAGAGCTTCCCAGTGCTCGCCTCCCCCGGCAGCTGCAGCAGGGTCTTGGTCCTGGTGCTGGGGGGGAGAGGACGGCGCTGCCAGGGCCCTGGGTGGCCTCAAGGTGAGGCCCAGGTGGTGCCCAGCTGCGGGACATCACTCCTGCAGCGAGGAGCCCACGCGTGTGCCTCCCCCGGGCGCTGCCGGTCACCTCTCTTCTCTGGCCCGCTGGCTGAGGAGCGGGGTCGGGCAGGATGCTGCGAGGGGCTGTGAGGGGCACAGTCCAGCGCGGGAGGTGCCGAGGCCCCGTCTGTGAGAGCAGATGTGGCTGGGCTGGTGATGAGGCAGCCCCGGGGCCAGGCCCTGCCAGCTGCTGCGAGCAGGCTGGGGTCAGCGCCTTCTCCTGCGGGGCTGGCTGCCAACGCCGGGGCCCTGCGTGGGACCCCTCTGGAAGGGCTCATAGCAGCAGGTTCCCTGCTGCATCTACGAGGCCTCAGGTCCTGACGCCTGCAAGCCAGCTAACAGGCACGCAGCAGCGCAAGACCGGCCGGAGCCCATTAACGCTGCCAGCTCGTGCCCTCGCTGCTGGCGGGGGAGAGCTGCTCCGACCCAGGGCCCGAGCGGGGCGACGTGCCCAGCGCTGTGCCGCAGCAGGCACGGTGGCAGCTTCCCAGGCAGGGCAGCAGCCAGGCCGGGGTGGGTGCTGCCCAGACCGCGAGTCTGTTGTGCATGGGCTTTGTCGAGCCCCGATGCGGCCCTGTGGGAATCCTGTGCTCCCTGCAGCGCCCCGAGCCCTCCGGGCGCAGCCACGGTGCCCCACTGTGAAGGCACCATTGCTTTTGGAGGAGCGGCCTGGCCCGTGCCCTCGCAGGTGCTGCTGCTCTGCTGAGCTAGTGCTGCTGCCCTGCTAAGGCGATGCTGCGCGGGGCTGTGTCTGTTCCAGGCTCCGGGCTGCACCAGCCCCACCCCAGCCCAGCCGTCGGAGGAGAAGAAGTTGTCCGTGGCATCGCCGTGGAGAAGTTCGACATTGTCAAGAAATGGGGTATCAACACGTACAAGGTGAGCTGCTTCCCGGGAGTGGCGGGATGGCCCGGCTCGCTGCCAGGGCCATGCAGCAGGCTGAGGGTCAGGCCAGCTCCCGTGCTAGGGGCGAAGGAGCAGCGGGAGGTGGAGGATGCGTCCGGGGATCTCCCCGCAGAATGCATGAGGACAGCTCTGCAGCTCCATGCTGCCCGCAGCAGCAAGGAGCGCTGCTCCCCGTCGGCCAGGGACGCGGGGCCTCCTGACGCCTTCCTCCCTCGCCCTGCAGTGTACCAAGCAGCTGATCTCGGAGCGGTTTGGCCGGGGCTCCCGCACCGTGGACCTGGAGCTGGAGACGCAGATTGAGCTGCTCCGGGAGACAAAGCGCAAGTACGAGTGTGTGCTGCAGCTGGCGCGGGCTTTCACCAACCACTTCTACAGCCTGGTGCAGACACAGCACGCCCTGGGGGATGCCTTTGCGGACCTCAGCCAGAAGTCTCCTGAGCTGCAGGTATGCCTGCTGGGGAGACGGCGCGGGCCTTGCCTCTGCCTGTGCTGCAGCCCCTCGTGCCTCTCGTGGGGAGGAAGCCTACAGACCCAAATCAACCTCGGGCTCTGCAGCACAGCCGGGGGCGGCTCTTGGCTCCGCAGCGCCCCAGGTGCGTGAGGAGAAGCAGGAGGTTGAGGATGACAGCGCTGGCGAAGGCCGCGGGGCAGGGGAGAGCGTGAAGGGCCGTGTCCCAGCACCTCCTTGGAGCACCCAGAGCCAGGCTGATCGGGGTGCGCGGGAGGAGAGAGGGGGCCTTGCTGGTGCAGACCCTGACTCCTCTCCTCTCCCAGGAGGAGTTTGGTTACAACGCGGAAACGCAGAAACTGCTCTGCAAGAATGGAGAAACACTACTGGGGGCTGTCAACTTCTTCGTCTCCAGCATCAACACACTGGTGAACAAGACCATGGAGGACACGCTCATGACAGTCAAGCAGTACGAGACAGCCAGGTAGAGCAGCGGCGTGGCCTGTGGGTTCCTGACGGCGTCGGGCGTCCCTGGGGGGGAACTGCGGGGCCGCAGCGTAGCTCTGACGCTGGCTGTCTCTGCGCAGGCTGGAGTACGATGCCTACCGCACGGACCTGGAGGAGCTGAGCATGGGCCCTCGGGATGCCAGCACCCTGTGCCGGCTGGACGCGGCCCAGAGCCAGTTCCAGAGCCACAAGGACAAGTACGAAAAGCTGCGTGCTGATGTGGCCATCAAGCTCAAGTTCTTGGAGGAGAACAAGGTGGGGAAGGGACCTGGGGCTGGGAAGGGGCCACGGGGCGCAGGGTGGGGGTCTGTTGTGCACTTGCTGCGTCCCTTGGCCGTGCTGCCTGGCGGCCGCCTGTCTTTGGGCGGGCAGCAGCCGTGAGGCAGCCAGGAGACCAGAGGGGAAGGGCAGGGGGGCGCCCGTCTCTGCCCCCCTCTCGCTGTCGTGGCTTCTGCCGTGCAGCCTCCTCCCGGCTTTCAGGGCTGGCTCTCGGGAGCTGCTAGGCGGGGGCCGCGTCCCTGCCCCCTGCCCCTGCGCTGGGCGCTGGGCGGCGGGGCCAGCTCGCTGCAGGCTGACCCCTCCTGCTCTTCCCAGATCAAGGTGATGCACAAGCAGCTACTGCTCTTCCACAACGCCATCTCTGCCTACTTCGCTGGGAACCAGCAGCAGTTGGAGCAGACCCTCAAGCAGTTCAACATCAAGCTGAAGACCCCCGGTGCTGAGAAGCCCTCCTGGCTGGAGGAGCAGTGAGCCGCCCCCGCCGCCCCCCGCCCGCTCTGGCCGGGGGTGCCATGGACCTGAATTCTGGCCGCTGGCGCGGGGCCAGGCCACGTGCTCGCAGGGTGAGCGGGGGACGCGGCCTGGGCCCTGCCGCAGCCGGGGGCTGCCCGCCGGGGCCTGGTCTGGGGGGGAGCGGGAGGCCGTGAGTGGGGCCCTGGTGCTGCCTGGGGAGAGGAGCTGGGAGAGGCTGGGGCTCCCCGGTCCCGCACCTGCCCTTCGGGGCAGAGTCCAGCCCTGCCCAGCTCGTTTGCGCTCCCTTAGCACAGACCCCCGGCACAGCGCGACCTCCCTGCCTCCCGGCATCCCTGCGGGGCAGCGGACGCCTCCCTCGCTGGGGCTGTGCACTCCAGACCCCCCCGGGCCCCCTCCCTGCCCACCCGGCCCCGCTCCCCGGGGCCCAGCCCAGGAATACCCCTGCCCTGCGGCGGAAGGGTTCGTTTCCAAATGAAGACGAAGCTCTCGGAGGGGCGGCACCAGGAGCCGGGGCTCCTGCCCTCTCTCCCAGCTTTGGGGTCTCTCCCCGGGCAGCTGCTCTTGCACTCCCTCCCCAGCCGCCCCGGGGGCCGACCCCCAGCCTCACACTACACTCCCCCACGCACGGGTGGGCTGTGCCAGCTGTCTCGGGGCCGTGGCACGCCCGTCCTCCCCTCCGGGTCCTCTGGCCGGGGCCGTGCTCACCCGCTCCGTGCTGGGGTGGCCGCCCTCGGGGCCGGGGGCCCCGTGCACTGCTGCTAGCGAGGCGTGGGCGGGCGGGCGCTGGCCGGACACGGGCCCGCTCACCGCCCCGACGCGTGGGCCCTGGACGGCCGCCGGGAGCTGCGGGGACTCAGACGAAGGACCAAATGCTGGCCGCGTCCCAGGCGGGTGCATGTGCATGTCGGTGCGTGTGCCGCGAACAGCGGGGCCGGGGCCTTGGCCAGCGTCCCGCGCCCGAGAGCTCTGTCCTGCTCCAGCTGAGTGTTACTTCCAGCCCTGGCCACATGCAGCACTTGGGCACTTTCTCCTGAGACAAAATAGTTTGTTTTTCTTGCTAATTTAATCCCTGGTAATTTAATGTTGGGATCTGACGCCCCCCCCGCCCCTTTCCCGGTGAAGGTCTGACCCCCTCCTCCCTCCCAACTTCTGTAAGACTCCAGAATAAAACGGTACGGATCACTTGTGTGCGCGGAGCTGTGGGCCTGGGTCCCCGTGGGCTGGGGGCTGACGTGGGGGGCAAGGGGGAGACGGAGGCGCTGGGCGGCGGTGGGGCGAGGCGGGCGCTTCCCCACGGCTGCGGACTGCTCCTGCCGCGGGGGGGGCAGCAGAGGGGCCCCCAGGGCAGGGGGCCCGCACCCCCCCGCCCGCT